TACTGAAATCAAAGATTGAAACTCAGTTTTGTTTATTACATATGATATATTTGTATGTATAAATATAATTCATTGTTTTTATTAAAATAATACATTTTGGATAATAGTATATGTTTATGTTATTTTGAATAATTTATAATGAATATCCTACCTATTGCAAGCATTTTTACCGCGAAATGTAGCGAATCCTCTAATTTGCCGCTAAAGTACCTTACCCCACTGTCGGGTTAACCAAAAGATCTGGGGTAATGAAATGGCAAAGGTCGAATTCTTCGATAGTCGCTAACTAGAAACATTGAATGAAGCCATTGTCTGCAAGAGAATTTGAGAGACCGGTTTCTTCTATTACGCTTCACAATGGCATCCAGGAGTAGGCCTGAGGAATTCCCAACTAACAGGCCACCTATTCACAGGCTAACCCTCTTTCCTGTTGACCTAGCTCAGGCTAACATTATGAGACCTAAATATAACCACTCAAAAGGGAGGTGATTTTGAAACGCGTGTTCAAAAATTGAAAATTTTTTCAAACATTTTTGGCGTCTTCCTACAACTATAACTACAAGATACAAAATTTCTCTTTATGATTTTTTTTTCTTACAGATAGATTTTGAAATAAGTTCATGTACACTTTTTCGAAAATTTATGTACATTTCGCGTATTTTTGCGTGAAAATACGGGCGAGAAAGTATGTGCTGTTTTAGCACCACTAGTTTTCAATTGAGAAGCAATTTTGTTGTGGAACTAGTGCTTGCTATTGGTTCAGGTAGATGCCATTTCAGCATACGTTTTGGCAGAACAAAAACTCCTTTCTAAGTTCGCAAGCCAAGGGCTCTAAATTTGATTCATCAGCCTACCACCACCACCCACGCACGCACTTACAACACCACCACACCTCCACAACACCATCACTATCACTCCCACCACCACCCCACCACCCCACCACCCCATCTCGCTACCACCAGCCCCTACTCAGTACCACCAACTCACTACCATCACCCCACCACCACTACACCATAATTACTATTATCATTACCACTGCTAGTGCTGATACTACTAAAGACCAAAAATACTACCATGATCCCTGTCTTTAACTAATTCAAAAGGTTGTAACAACCTATTGTTCATAGTTTAATATTTCTCGTTTATGTGCCTAAAATGTTTTATGTGACTTCAAAAATGAATAAAAACCACGAAGCTCAAATCATTTTCGTTATTTAAGTTATAATACCTGATTACCTGGTATTTTATAACATATTGTGAGTCTGCAAGAAGAACTCAGTGTATTGCTGACAAATCCCAACAAGAAGGGTTTCCTCCCAAAGTTAGCCATATAACTCTGCCGCAGTCGATCATTGAGGGAATGAAAATTCTAGGGTGCGATTTCTCTGATCATTTGTTCGCGTGTTTTCCTTCGACGAATTTTTGTCACATGCCGAAGCAGTATCTCTGAAAACAGACCGCCAACCGTGGACAGTATTCCGATCATTTGACGGGCGATGGGGTGGTCCCCAATTTTTATGACTCACCTCTCATGTTCCATAAAAAGTTCAGGCACCTACAATGAGTAAGTAAATATCACATTTATTCCCAGAGGACTTGTAGAGCCAGACAGAGGAGAAGAGCATGTAAAACGAGATTCAAGCGCCATTCCATTAACACTTCCCGCCCCTGCCTCTCGTGCCTTTTTCCGGGAGCGGGGACGGCTGTAGAAGCTCGACTGGTTCTCCCTGACTGGCACGCCCTGACTCTGCAGTTCCTCGAGGCATCAACGCCCTCCAGGCAGCGCAGTACGCCCGACCCCGGCGCAGCCGGAGGAGGCAGAGATGCTCAGGGCCCCCTGCACGCCCTCCGCGCACGTCGCGGAGCAGGGGGCGCTGGTCGACCCCCGGGTGACCTGCGCGGGCCGATCTTTATCCGCCAGCGAAACAATGACGCGTCTGATGGCCGGGCCGCGAACCCAGGAACTTCGCTTACCGCAGGCATCCACGAACATGGCTTTCTGGGAAAGGTCAGGCACCTTCCATTTGTTCCACTCTAATCTCTTATTCTACCTCATAGACCGTTATCCTTCATGATCAACTTTCATAGTAATTGTTTAATTTATTTAATGTCAAAAACACGATGAAAATGTTAAGAAAGCTTTTTTGGACAGCTTAAAAAGTTACATATAAAGTTACACGTCCAGAAGCAAAGTATAAGTTCAGATGACCCGTTGCTTTACTTCTACACAGAAAGTGTAACGTTTCTTCCTCCATTTTCTAAACGGATTTGACAGTTTTTACTATTTAAAAATAAAAAAGTAACTGCCAGTATATTTACTTTTTGTCAAAAAGAACAGAAATTATCGCTTATATTTATCTCTTTAGGTTACATATAATATAATAAATTAATTGATTGGTAACAATAGCCGAAAAACTCTAATTACAAGATTATCAAAAGAAAAAGAAGGAAGTCCTCGATTCTGATTTTGCATCAGAATCTAGTATTCTCTGAGGATTACATTGACGTAAATCTCGTACTGTTAATGTGTCTGTACATCAACCGACTTGTGTTAAAGAAAACGTCGCGAAGTTTCTAATGACTGCCTGAGTTCCGCCGTTGTTGGAGATTGAGATGTTATGACATATTATCTAGACTTCTGTCAGTCCAGTGAATGTAATGATGTTCTCATTCACAGCCATCCATTTCCAAATTCATTTTCCGTCTTAATCAGTGGTGGAGTGTACAGGATTTCTCCGCGTAAACAGCAAATAGTATATGCTTGATCTTGCGCAAGTCGCTTTACACGAAAGATTAAAAAAATATGAGTAATTGAAATGTGTTTCAAAATAATGATAATATAGAACCAATTCCGATGACAATAAACGTAGTTTTGTTATGTTCTAATATCACTCCGATAGGGACACCAAAAGAATGATACTATCAGCCCCGTGATAACATTAATCGTAATTACAATAAGTGGCGACCACGTAACATAGAAATAAATAACAGCATCTCCTTGCTCTCCACACCCCACCGAATACGTTGGCCTGTATCGCTCCCGTGTAACCAGCACCACCGGTGATCAAAGTCGGGCGGCCATGTTCAGCGCTCCGCAGAGACACGGTCTGGCGCCGAGTTGGGGTTTATCAGCAACGCCCTGGTCCGGATTCGAACCCACTCCGCCCGGAGAAAATCGCTCCGCAACACACGGCCGTAACGGGACGCTCCGGGAGCAGGAAGCGAGGTAGAAAGTGCTTCGGGCGCGCGCTGGGTCGCGGTGCAATTCCGCTGCAGGTTGAGGAACAAATTCGGGTTCTTCAAATGTTCAGAAAGTCAACTCAAAATCTCTATCATGGAAGTGTATCTTCATACATATGCGTTTAAGCTCAATACTAAATCAAAATGCACTTTCCAAAAGCATGATACTGCAATCAGACACTTGTGTTATCACAATTAAAATTTTGAATAGTTTTTATTCTTCTTTGTTATTTACAAGGCTATCTCTTGCGATTAGTGACAATCGTCATTTCATTAGCTGTTGATGAACGTTTTAATTGAACAATGACTATATAATAGACTAAATCCATTCACACTTCTGGCAGATCTAATGAATTTACAAAACATACCTAATTTATCAGATTCATAAAAAATACAATATTTACAAACAGAAAATATTTTTTTTAAGATTCACGATTATCCGTACATTTTTCTGCAACTTGCGAGCAATATTGCACTCTATATTTCATTAGACGTCTTTTGGGTGTGACATGTAGGTTGAGTTCAGCTGACTGAAGCGAAACGTTATAATTATGAAACTTCACTTTGTAAATGAGGTGAAACGGCAGGAACTATGTTTCAATGTAAGTTTTACAGCTCTATATAGATATTGCCACTTTACATAGTAACTGTACTCGATCTCCTGAATGTAATAATTAATTAGACTTCAGCTTGTATAAGAAAATGTCTTAAAAATCACTTAAATGGAAGCTGTCCTAATACGAAAATGCACTAATATACGAGTCTCAAATTTAAAATTCAAACCTACATGTAAGTATAAACTCGGATTACCAAATTTCGTCCTATGATAAACAAATGACTGAGTCGCTTTGGGTTTTTGATTATGAAGTTTCGAAAAATTGAAAATATTTGTACATATGGCTTCTTTATGAATCACTTCTATGCAATTTATTTGCTGATTGAGCTATTGGCCGATCGAACTGACCCATCAGGAGTTGGTTGATTCGTATTCGTAAAAATAATTATAGTGATTAGCCATTCAGCCATTAAACAAAAAATATTCTAGAAGAATTTAAACATTTTTTGAAAAGTTAGAAACAAAATTCTTTAAAATTGAAGAGCTTTAAAAAATCCTATGTTTTAATGTTGTAACCAGTTTCTTTTCGTAGCACACTCACGTACTGGTAATGCACGCAGATAGCCGGCCATAGAAGCCTTGTAAAACGAGATAGGGCATCAGAGCAACCATTGCTTTTTCCCCCTTAGCTTTATCTGATTAACGTGTCTGTCTTGCATAATAAGCAAAAATGGTACATGCAACACAACACACTCGCAATGAAGAAATGCATTACACCTGAGCAAAACACTTGAGTGAAAAGGAAATAAATCTGACGATGCTAATATGTTTAGAATTTTCTAGGAAGAAATACACAGTGCTTCCAAATGTAGCATCGCGGTAAGAGGTACAAGACTTTGAGTATTCTGCACAGATTTATCTGATTATTACTAATATCCACTATTTACCCACAACTAAACATTTTTTAAATGTAATTGCAAATTTCTGCTGCAATCCTTACACAATCCTTACACATTCATAAAGCAAAGCCAAGAAAATGGGGCCATCCATGCGTCATCACAGAAATCCCAAATCCATATTCCTTTGGTATTTGAATTTGTTTTATTTTCAACTGACATTTAAACCACTTCAGTTTCCAAACATCGCCTTTTATGCTACTCAAGCATTCAAGATAAATTTCACTACAGTCCAAGCGTGAGAACGCTTAAACAAACATCGATGCAAGAAAGAGTGTATACGAGAGCAGATGCTGCTGGTTACTCAGTGTTTTTCCGCACGCCTGCCGGCATCCGGCGACCACTTCCTTCAACAACAAGAGAGAATCCATTAACTGTAGCGGCGCCCATGTGAACATTTTCTCTTCCACCTGCTTCCGCGAAGCAAACACGGAGAGAGCAGATCGCCACAAATGGCGCTCCGAGGCTCCTGAAGCCGCGCAGCGCAAGGCGACGCAGTTCCTTATTGGCATGCGACTACGCCACCGCGCCGCGCCGCGCCGCGCCGCGCCGCGCCGCGACGTCCAACAGTTTTTCGTGATCTCGAATGGCAGGCCAAAAAGGTGACACAGTTTTTTTTCTTTTTTTAATTGATACGTTCCCTGGTATATCGGGTTTCCAGGAACGCTGTTTACGAAAATGTCAGACATTTCAAAAACAAAATGATGGATGCAATATGGTAGAAAAAATTAAAATATAAAATAAAACACAAATTTCTAATTGCATTCTGTAATTATGAGGTCTTTTGTGATTGTTGATTATGAATAACAAGTAAACATTTTACTGAAAATAACATAGCGGAATATATACAAAAGTGTATTGTTAAATTAACTGTTAAAATTATGTTTTTCATCTGGTAATGAACATTCCATTTTTAAATTAATTTACTTTCTTTACACATAATACGTATAAAATTAATGTATATAATTTAACACTACATACAACAGCCTTGAACTGTATTAAAAATGATTTATTCAAAGACGTGTGTGCAATAAAGTTGCAGCAAGAATCAGTGATAAAACTGATTTAGATTACTAATAGTATGTACTACACGTTAATGTGCAATTGACCAGATATAGAATTCTGCAGAGTTTTTTACTTTTTACATATGATAATTTCAATTTCTCATTTTCCATTTTCACTCTAATTTTAAATCAAATATTTAGCATTCAATTTGAAAATATTTTATATTATCTCTTTTTTTTACTTTTATACACACTATCGAAAGAATAACCCCGGATATAATCTTTAACGTAACTTTTGTCAATTGCTTTAATATTAGTTTTCTTTACTTTTGCTACCAGTATAGAGTCCACCTACATGACTCTCCAACGAACATAAAATCCATTTATAAGATTTTTTTCCTCTTTGGCCATTCCACGTGGATATAATAATGGACAAAACGAGTTCTCGGCAGTTTTTCTCGTTTTCCTTCCTTCCCAATCCACCACTTCTTCACCTCATTATTACTTATATAACCTACTCATTAGATCATCACACATAAGCCTCTGTGATCTTAGTAGTTGGCTCTCAAATCCCTCATAAAAAGTGAAATAAATAAAATGAATTAATTAGTTTCTAAAAAGAATCACTTTGACCAACATTACAGTGGCTCAGATCACTGTGCGTGGCCGTGTGTGCCCGGCCGCCTGCGCGTACGGCGAGCAGCGCATCGACAATCCCTCGCTTGCACCTGTGCTAATGGGCAGGCGGCCGCTGCGTAACGTCGAGAGGAATGACAACGAGAGGTTGTCGGAGCTTTATGTTGGCAGACAGAACAATCACTTCGGGGACGTTCCGAGAGGAGAGGATCCGTGTTCGTGGGCGAAACCGGCTCTCTCTTCAGCGCCTCTCGCCGGGAGGCCCACGGTACGTTCGAGTCCCGGCGGTGGCGGATTTCCCACCCTAGCTAGTAGATATCTAGGTCGAATTCAGACGCTCTTTGGAGGAAAATTCTAGCGGCCGGCTGCTCTGATCGGTAGATATCCGAGGTTTCTCCGATCAAAACCAGGCAAATACAGGAGCAGATCCCTAACACACAAGCCATGGACTTTCCTTTCTCTTCCTCGACCTATTCTCTCTCGTTACACTCATATTTATACTTAAGGGTACTATATTGCCGCACACGATCAGTCGGGAGCTTAAAGCTTGTCTTGACTGGAGCAGTGCCCAGATGAGAAGATACCTAGAGGCCGGAAACCCTGCTAGAAGACGTGCAGGCAGGCGCCAGACCTCACCATTCAGCGGGGGTAAGAATCACCGCTTCCTACCAGAATAAATACTTCACTACTCTGACGAGAATAGTAATGACCATAGCAGTTGTAGTGTTCGGATATATCAGTCGATAGCGGAAACCCTATTCTGGTGAACGCCACTTCATTTTAATGCACCACACATTGAGTGATTACGCAGAGGCGACATCAATTGGGAACGAAAAGATTAGAACTGTTCTCGAAGAGCTATGTATATTTAGATATATGAGATATTCGTGTTTGGTAACATATTAATGGTGTTTTTAAATTAAACTTGAGATTCGTATTAGATTCGTAAGTTTTAGTTGATTAATACACGACACCGATATATTTCATCGATTTCTTCTGACATTTTCTCTCATCATTTCGGAGATCTAAATTGCAGCAAGTTCATATGGCATTTCGTTTACAAACTAACTAAATACGTTAGCCTATGCCCATGTTGAATGGCTCAGCTGTACCGAATAATAAGAGTTCATTTGATACTGTTCTTTCGACCTGGAAATTCGGCCATGTTGCCGGAAAGCGTCGCAAACAGTTCAACCATACCCGCGAATGTCTAGTGAATCTTTTTAAAATAGTCAGATTTAAATGTCTGTGTACGTCGGTATTCAGAGGAATCTAGATCTTCTCTGACTATACTCCGAGGCGCAGAATATTCCTACAGAACTTTCAATGTGGTTCATGAAGTGCCTGTAGTGGCTAAGCAAGATTTGAACAGTGTATACTCTTCATGTTACTTCATCTATGAATGTAATGGCCTTTGTATATCGAGAAATAATTTTTTTTTTATTCCCTGGTATATTAATGAAACAGTCTGAACGAAATTCCTCTGCTAAATACACTTTTCGAAGAAGAAACCAAACTTACATAACATTTTAATGTTAACTCAACTTGATCAACAAGATTTATTACCTTTTATAATGAGTAAGTGGTCGCTATGCAATGTTGAAAGGAATATAACTGAGGGATTGTTGGAGGGGCCAGGATAATTACTTATGTAAATTGCATCCTTAGCATGACTTCCAATGGAATTCACGAGGTATATTTATTGCATTTTTTAATTTAATACAAAGTATTCCGCAAAGACTATTGATTTATGTTCTTCCTGACTTGAATTTTCACGGTTCCCTAGTATTTAAACGTAACAAGCTTAACGAAATTCCTCTAATTCCCTATTAAGAAAACAAAACACTCCTACAAAATCGCGTTAGAAAAAAATACAATATTTTTCACCCCACCATTAAATGCAATCGCAAATACAAAACGTTATGAAGAAAATTACGTGCATAATAAAAATGAAACCTTCTATGCATTTGTTTGTACGGAAGAAGCGAGTATTCCAAACATTACTAAGATACCACTTTCACCTCTCAAAAGGCTAGAAATATTTTCAAACATAAGAACCATCGGTTATTTGACTTCCATTAACGATGTTTGTGGTGAAACAATTATACTTCCGGGTGTCTCCAAATACAGGCGTGAAAGCAAGAACTACAATGGCACGACATATACACTTTCAGTAGGGTTTCCTATTACTTAATAAATGTTAACTAATTCATAATGAAGAGTAAACATCGAATATTTCCATGTAAACCAGTATAACATTAATAATACACAATTGCAGTTATACAAATTTCAGAATTTTAAAATAGCGATCAGACGAGGAATGACGTAAAAATCTGATTCACTAAAATGTGATTTAGCCACTTGTAAGATAAATAACAGTTATTTGTGCTTAATGAATTTGTTTTTGTAAAAAGCATATCAAAACACAACTATTCTGTGCAAATGTTTTATGAAATGCTTCTCCAAATCCATGTACACCATAGTTATACTTAAATGGTTAGTTTTTTGTCAAACATCTCTCTTTTCATTTCCCTTTTAGTGAATTTCCACAAGGTACAAAATGTTAATATGACCATGTCTCAACTTAAAAGTTCACATACCATGTAATATTTGTTTTCACTCGTCTAGTTTCATTTACCAAAAATAAACTTTTAGAATCTTGAAAATCGACTACAACAATTGGGTTTTCGAGGTTTACTTAGTAGCAGATAAGAAAAGGACAGCGGAGGACAAAATGCCATGGCGGCAGTGACAAGGCCCTTTTTGGCCCTTAGGATGATGATGATGATGATGATGATGATGATGATGATGATGACTTAATATGACGATATTTTATGGTGGCAATGGCCTCAAATATAGCACACGCCGCTTTCAAAGCTGCTTATCAGTCGGTTGCTTGTCAAAGTTAACATAATTAATGACAACGAAATATCTCAAAAATTAAACGCAACCCGACGAAGATAAATTTTACTGGAGAACGAGCTGAGAAGAACTTGTATTTTCCATAGACAATACGATGCATCCGCTGGGACATGTGACAACACTGACAGATAAATCATCTCTCTCAATCGTTTGTTGTTTTAATTTTTAAATAAATAATATTTAAATAATACAGTGTGCAGTCGTTGCTACTGTAAGACTGAATAATATTACTCTTCATAGTGTTTTTATACTATTTTTGTTTGGTGCATTTGCCCCTGATTGTCAGGCAACCCAACATACTCTGGTGTTCCGCAGGTCATCTTCTAGAAGACAATGAGATTTCATTTACGCACCAATCACAAATTTTCTATCAATCAGAGAAAATACCAGTCGTGTAACTTTATTATATCAAGTTCCCTATCATATATTTATTGGGGAAAAGTAATCATCTTCGATCCACTTACATATCCTCGAAGTTTGTGACATTTATTCTGACACATCTGTATACCTTCTCTTTTTTTGGCAGGACTATGTCGCCATTTTGCTTTAAGTTTTTTAATCAACAGTTTATAACGTAAGCCGTTTGTTTTACACTCCTAGGAGTAAATGCAAATGTTGATCCTACATTTGTTAGGAAAGACTCAACAATGTAAAATATTTATATAGTCAGAAGGAAAAGCAAGTCTCATGACCTCGTTAGTAAAAATGTACTTTATAAGCCTAATAAATAATTTTACATGGATAATTCTTGTTTAGAAAGTTATATAAATGATTATTTCAAATAGAGGTTGAACTTTAAAAATGCAGGTTATATTAATTTGTAGAGAAAGCATGTAAGGTGTGTACTATCAACTAAACCTGGGACCGACCATAGAATAAACCAGAACCGGTCACTGGTCGCACGACTCTTCATCCACCAAGTTACGCCATAAACTAGCAAGCTGTCCCGCGTCTCGGTACGTCTCAATACGAGGCGGGCCAAAGTTCACCCGTAACTCCCAGCGGCGCTTCGGAGGCGGCGGCAGCACGAGCGGGGGTTAGGGGCGGGGAGGAAACTAGTCGATGGGCTTCATAAATCGAGTGTTTGATGCGTGTTCCCAACCT